TTTGCTGTTCTATAAGTCAACGAATGACTAATTGGTATCTATGTAGTAGTTACGCTACTTAGCGATAGATGGCGCTGGGTGTTTTTAAAAAATTGGTAACGTTGTTTTTTAAGTATTTTTCGCTTTTAAATTTTGATTCCTACTATTTTACATTAAATTGAGTATTTAATAGATTTTAGGTTGTTAAAGGTACCTACACGAAATCTTAGCGTGAACAATACTCAACAAGACAACGCTCGAAAGACAATTGTGCCGATGCCGATTCGGAGTCGCGGAGAACCTAACGGGTTACCTGGGCTACGGCTCGAAGCGCAGGAGAAGGAACGGGGTGATTTTTAGTCAGTAAGAGTCTGACACTCCCTCCCGCCTCACCCAGGCGGGAGAAGTCATTCGATGATTTTCCCCCCTTAAAAAAATGATTTTAATCGATGTTAGTGTATTTTGGATCTGTAGTAGAAAAACCTGGTTTCTAAACGTAGGCAAACCTAGCTGGTAGACAGTAGTTATATGAAATGCTTTGCTCCATTGTTTTCACTTACGCAAATAATATTAGAGCCGGGTGCGGTGACCAATCTTGCTCGTGAGCCCAATCCGAACGGCGGACACAGCACCATTTTGAAAATGTCAAATATAACACTGCATGACACTAGAAGCGCAGTGAGAAGCTCTCGTGTCGAAACTCCTTGAACGACGCAACAACAGCCTTTATTGCTCCTACCAGATTATCTCTCTATTCCGATTCTTTTAATTATTTCACATTAAGTATTAAGTATTGGAGGGGCCTTTGTCCAGCAGTGGACGAATACAGGCTGATGATGATGAAGTATTAAGGAATCATTAGGTTATCAGAAACCCTCGCAAACTCATCAACATGAGAGTACAGCATCAACAGTGTATAAATGCCCACTGCTGAGCAAAGCCTCTTCTCACACGGAGAAGGTTTTAGCATTAATCACCACGCTTGCTCAATGCGGGTTAGGGATTACAAACTTATAATAAGAAATTATAAGCCCAGGTTTCCTCACGATGTTTTCCTTCACCGTTTGTCAGTGGTGTCTAAATAATCTTACATGTAACTCGGAAAAAGTCACATTGGTACATGCCGTTGGTAGGTTTCGAACCCTTCATGCATGAGGATGCTCATGCATGGAAGCGGGCGTCTTAAACCTCCGGACCACAATGACATATTACTCTGTCAAGAAAGTACTAGGAAAAGATCAATAATACACAAAATGTCTGTTATTAATCCAAATTTATTTTATCACCTTCAAAATATGCTCTTTAGAAATGATACACTTGCGCTAACAAATAATCCTTTCATCAAAACATTTTTTAAACGCTGCTTCCGAAATTGAGTTCTTCTCGCCGCGAATTCTCCTTTATTTTTTATTTTTATTTATTTTAAAAGACTTTATGCACACACTAATGTACAAGGTGGGCTTAATGCCTAGGGCATTCTCCTCCAGCCAGCCCTTGGGGTGATGCAGAGACAAAAACAATAGTCGATGCAAGAAGCAAGCGTATTTAAGACTCAACAGAAATACATAGAAAAACGGATAGTATAGAGTTACATAAAATAAATCCCTATATAAACTTACATGTATATGACATAACAATAAACTTACACAATTATATTACACTAGCGGCCCGCCCCGGCTTCGCACGGGTACATACACACACACACACATACAACCTTCTTTTTTGCGTCGGGGTTCAATAAAAAAGTAAAATTTAATGAATTTTTTTATTCATTTTTTTTATTAATGTTTTTTTTTGTATATTTTTTTATTTTAAATTTTTACAAATATCATATTATCTACAAAAAAACAAAACCCATTAGTTTCAGTGAGTCAGAGCTTCCCTGTAAACGATATTTGAAGTAGTTTTATTTTGTGGCAGCAAAATAAATTGATTTTCAGGAGCTCCGACACGTGATAGGCCAACATACAGTTGGCCATGAGTGAAACATTCTTTTCGTAGATCGATCCCTAATAATTCGAAGGTTTGGCCTTGGGACTTGTTAATAGTTAACGCGAAAGATGATTTGACCGGAAACTGAAGTCGTTTAAAAGGGATTGTCAGATCAGTTGGGATCATCGGTATCCTCGGTATATGAGCTAGTTGACCAGCCGCTGGGCCAGTGATAATAGTCGCTACAATTAAATTGTCCTTCAATTCCTTAATAAGCAGTCTCGTCCCATTGCACATGCTCGGAGGGCTTAAATTTCTTAAAAGCACAATGGTTCCGATGGCTGACAAAATAAAAGGATGACCACAAATAAGTCTCTCAATTGTACTGGACATTGCGAAAGTGATGCTTCTCTCAGAGTATTTTACCAGTGGTCATCATTTTCTAGCAAACCTCTGTCACGGCAAGCTGCTTGATAGGTTTCTTTGAGAAGTCCGTCAACGGTTTGTAGTACTCAAATGAGGTTGGACCATGGTTGGACCACGTAGGTGATGTAGCAACATCCTAAGATAAAAGCACTCTGATTGAGAAGGATGTCCACCGTAGACTCTTCCTAAAGCGGCATCTTTTTCTAATACCTGGATGGCTAACTACGTCCTCACCACGCCTCCTTCTTGTGAATTTATTACTGGGCCATGTGTAGTATTGCGGGACTTCGTGGTATAAAAGTGTCTTTGCGAATTCGTCGTCATTACAGAGCTCAAAGAACGCCAGCAAAGTAGTTTTACGTGGGTTATGAGCCACTTGTTCAGCCGTTTCTGGGGTAAAATACAGGGTGTATTCTAAGTGGACAGCTAACTGTAAGACTAGGATGCCGCTCATGGATCGGAAATTCAAATATTCGCCACACAGCCTCGGATGTATGTACTTATGTATTAAATTTTTAGAACAAAAAACATGCTGTCGCGACACTTTTTGTAGATAATGATGAGTTCTGCAAAGTCCGTAGTAAATGATTTTGTTCTATCATCAATAGTTTTCGCAGCGCACGCGACGTAAGGAATTTTTTAGGTCATTTTTTTACCTTGAGTTACATTATTGGAATTTTAGGAAAGATCCCTAATTATTTTTAAAATATAATATAGCCTATGTTACTCGCTTAATGTAGCTTTCCAGAGGTGAAAGAATTTTTGACATCGGTCCAGTAGTTTCGGAGCCTATTCATTACAAACAAACAAACAAACAAATCTTTCCTCTTTATAATATTAGTATAGATATACTACTTAGACGTAACATAATTATACATAGTATATTGATAGTTACGATTCTGCCAACCTCCTCAAAAGTAGCTCCCTCACCTTCCGCTTGAGTGACAAACGACTGGGCACCATCCTGATACAGGGAGGGAGCGCATTCCACAGAAGAATAGACTGAACAAAAAAGGAGAAATGAAGAAATTTAGTATGATGTGTTGGACATTGGAGGAGGCGATTATTAGAAGAGCGAAGATATTTGCTGTGGTTTGCGCATGTATATTGGAAGTGTAAGGACAGATAATGAGGCGAATGAGGCGAGTCAAGAACAGAGAAAAGTGTGGTTAGCGCTCTTAGTTCATCTTAGTTAGTATGATAGTTCTTTATGTCTTCTATCGATTGAAAACAGGTGCCACGAAGTGGTAATTTGAGTTTAGGAAAAAGAAAAAAGTCAGCTGGAGCCATATCTGGTGAATATGGTGGTTGTTGAGTGTCAAAAATTCGTTTACAATGATAGCCTTGTGTGAAGGCGCATTGTCGTGGTGCAAAATCCAAGAATTTTCTTTCCACAAATCTGGCCTTTTTCGTCGAAATTGCTCTCTTAAACTGTCAAACACCAAGCGGTCACCGGTGACCGCAATCTATTGTTCTATAATTGTGTCTATAATGACGGTACTCGACGAGTTAAACGCCGCATAACGCTCAAGTAATATTCTTTACTTACCGTTAGACCTTCCGGCAGTCACAAAGGCAGCATTTCTTTTTTTTTTTTAAGGGGGGAGAATCATCGAATGACTGCTCCCGCCTGGGTGAGGCGGAAGAGAGTGTCAGACTCTTACTGACTAAAAACCACCCCGTTCCTTCTCCTGCACGTCGAGCCGGAGCCCCGGTTACCCGTTAGGTTCTCCGCGACAACAAAGGCAGCATAATATGAGGCTGTTGTTAATAATAACTAAGTTTTTAGGATTTGTACTTTATTTGATTATATTTATAGATATAACTAGCTTTTACCCGCGGCTTCGCTCGCATCACAAAAGTATAAAAAGTGACATATACACACAGCGCCATCTATACCAATGATTTCGTTTTTCCTCGAGAATATCAAATTTTTGTGGGATAAAAAGTACCCTATTATTTAATCCAGACTTAACTTTACGTCTGCAAAAATTCAAAACAATCGGTTTAGTAGTTACGGCGTGAAAGCGGAACAAACAAACAAACAAACTCACTTTCTGATTTATAATATTAGTAAGGATAAGGATAGTAAGGATTTATTTTAATAGTAGATTTTAAAAATATATTTGTTGTTATTAAAGTTATTAACGTTTATTAGGGATAGTTTTGTCTAAATGTATTAGTTTGTTCTATGTGCTTGATATGTTCTTTTGTTTTTCTTTGTATAAGTTATTTTACGGTTGTTCCCATACAATATTTACAAAGGTAAATGTTACTAAATAAAAATATAAAATCTACTGTAACGTTACTGTAAAAAATCGTCTTATTGTGTCATATGGCACAAATATTGGATTATTGTCATATCTTATAATATATATACTATCTTGTACTATTATATAAAGCTGAAGAGTTTGTTTGATTGTTTGTTTGGACCTACTGAAAACTCCTTTTGTATTGGATAGTCCATTTATTGAGCAAGGTTACAAGCTATAAAACATCATGCTAAGACCATTAGAAGCCGAGCAGAGCGGGTGAAACCGCAAGGAAATAGATAGTTTATAAATATTCATGTGCATTCGTTTTTATTACATCGCAATTATGTACAGTACATCAATAGGTTGTTTGACTACTGCCAAATGGATTTGATAAATTAAAAAAATAGGTATATAGATGTCCTTTAATATTACTAGACTCATGATTACAAAATTTGCCAATAATTCTTATGTCATTATTAGATCTAAATAATAAATATGTTCATCACTTTGTCTGTCCATGGATATAATTCATTAATTATGTTTTCCTTTAATATTATTTTATTAAATAATGGATATTTTTTTTCATTTCATTACATTACAATACTAGGCAAGCCATTTTATTTGGTAAAGCGATTGTTTTCTACCAATTGTTCAGAAACATGTACGTTGTCCAATATTACAATGTCATCTACATCTGACAACCATAGGACCGGCCTGCTATCAGTGTTTTCTACGGCAAGGAAGTTTCTTCAGCAGGCGGAATCCATAGGTATTGTATCCATTTAATATAATATATTGTATTTTCAAGTAAGTATTTATAGTGTTGTAGCTCGTGTAGAGCTACAACACTATAAATACTTACTTATATGATTATTGTACAAAATACTGTTATATAATTATACTCTATAAAAAATATTGCAACTAAGTACAAAGTTAAGGCACTGCGGTAACATGCAAGATGTATTATGTGTTCAGAAATCCAAATCCCACCCAGATGTTTCGTCTGGTGGCATCTTGTCCTTAGGGTACTCCTCAAAGTTTCTGCGGTCTAAATCGTTGGCTACGTGTGGCACGAGAGGAGCTTTAAGACGACGTTCCACGAGTCCATCCCAATCGAAGCCTAAGAACCACCTGTATATAGAAAAATATAATAATTTCTTGTAGGAAGATAAATGAAAGTTTATTAAAGACATACCTAAACACATTTAAAGATAAAATAAGTACCTACTTGATAGTTCAATATGAATGTATCTATGTTAAACTGACGCAGAATGAATTTATATGAGTTTGTTTAAATTCGTTATGTGACACATTTCGACTGCTAATGTCGTTATTAAAATATTTATATAGCCTTGAACGTACTTGTGACTTTTAATGTCAGCTATTCCGTTTTTGAGGTACCCGAGCCGTTCAACGGGCACGGCGCGACACAGTTTGCGAATAAGCAGTTGTGCAGACTTCGGAACTCGTTGATGGAATGATACTGCTTCGATGCCGCGCAAGATAAGCGTGTAAGTCTTCATGTGATCACCCCCTGGGGCTCGGAATGGAGGTTTACCGACTAGCAGCTCGTGAACCAGCACCCCTAACGCCCAGCAATCCACGGCCCGGTCATGACCCTTTACAGAAAGTAACAGAGTTATGTGATCTGCGATAAAAAATGTTTAATCATCCTAATTATAATTATAAGGTTGCCATTTGTCACTAACCTTATTTAACACAATTTCAGGAGCTACATATTCTGGTGTACCAGCGAATGTCCATGTTTTGCTGTTTGGAGAAATTCGTTTAGCAAAGCCGAAGTCAACCTAAAAACATAATTCAATAACAGTTTGGAAATCAGAAAATAAGTAAGTAAAATTTATTTATTCATCGACAACTTATTCGGGTAAGTACCAGTTTAATGTATCCTTGTTTGTCGAGCATCAAATTTTCCGGTTTGAGATCCCTGTAGATGATATCTTTAGAGTGAAGATATTGGAAAGCTTCGACTACACATGCCATCATGAAACGAGACACATTCTCAGGGAAGTAACGTTGTTTCTGAAGAATGGTCCACACGTCACCGCCCAGCACTGGCTCCATAAGGAAATATATATATTTTGGATCCTTAAAAGTACGATACAATCTGTAAAGTGACACAGATAAATCATTGATTAATTAAATAATTGCGTGATAAATGTAAGGATTCATAATTAATTGGTGTTTAACTTGGAAAATGTATTGACGCGTTACTTAGTTATCTCGAGATAAGGGACATCTGATAGTTGCATTTTATAATTATGTTATAGTACCTATAGTTTTTTATGTCAAAGTATTAAGTGCTATTATTGTTTCATTTAGCAATTTAAAGGTTTTTTTTTAATATTTGATGAATACAGGTCGACTAAATAAGTAAGTAAAAGCTGCACCTGCAAATAAAAGAATTATTGCAGGACATCATGATATTCTTCTCATTGTAAGCATGTTCCTGTTGCTGCTGCTGCACCATGTCGACTTTCTTGAGACATTTCAGTGCGAATGTGAGCTTCTGATTTGGTTTGTACTGCACAAGTTCGACACGTCCGAAACCTCCCACACCCAAAGTACCCACAATTTCCAAGTCTTTCAACTCCACGTATCCAAATTCTGAAATAAATTTTGCTTACTTTCAACCACAACAAAATATACTAACCTACCTAATACTGAATAATAAAATGTTACATATTTGGGTCAAACCCCTAATCAAAGATTAACAACATTTAATAATGTATATTTTTAAACTTTTGTCGAATTTACGCATTTATTTTCATCACACATTTTATTGTTAACAATTGAAGTAGTGCAAAACTTCAGACGAGACGTGAAAATAAAGCCCCTCAAATATTTTTATTATTCAGCTTAAAAGATATATAACAAAAATATAAATAAAATAGTGTTTCATACATTGAACTGAGTTACCTATACAAATAAGTATTGCCTAGCTTTAGATTAACTAAAGTATTAACGTCAAAAAATGTACTTTGTTCTCTGCTCAAAGTTCATGTAAAGAATTAACTGAATAACACAATTAGAACAATATCAAGTATACCTACACTTATCGGGTGAAGAGAGTGTTTAGTGTAATTAATCCGAAATTAGGTATTATGATTTGCTTTTACCATGCCCTTTTTTGAAAGTATTGGGTGTTTACAAATTGGTAAAGCATATTTAAATTATATAAATAATATTACAACTGAATTGTTAAAAAGTCTATAATAATATGCATGTCATGAGTGCTCTACGAGAATATGTCGTTTTTTATATATCAACAACTTACCACTTATGACCACTGACACTTTCTTTTGTGTGGATGATCGCGGCGTTGCATATGAAACGTGTTTCAGTTCTTTTATATTGTCAAGAAATTCCGTGAAAGGTCTGAAAAACAAACAATAAAAATACCTACTTAGAGATTCATAGTCAAAAAACCTAAATACACACAAGTGACGAGAAGCATTGAAGTCCCTAGCACAGTAACACGGTAACACGTATAAGCACTTTATTGTGTTAGGGTTTCCTATAGATTTTCAATAGATATTGCAAGGAAACAAGCAAGTGTGAAGGCGTATGTCTACTGGAAAGTAGGTAAACGTTGTTATTAGTAGTCAATAATTATTAATTTAATAGGAAATCTTATCTTTTAGATATATTTTACACCATTTGTAATGATGCGTTTTTATAGACATGGATGCAACAAGGTAGGGATATTTGTCCAAAGTTAGGATGTTTAATTAAAAAAAATATCCACACTTATTTATGAGATAATCATATATTTTACGTAGCAATGACAATGAAATTGAAATGATAAGACGTTGTGCGTTAGACGCTCTAAATTAGTCGGTAAAGGTTCAAAAGTAATTAATGATTGGACGAATCGTAATAACTAATAATATAATAATAATAATCATCTACACATACAGATAAATAAAATTGGAGTGTCTGTTTGTAATACTGAAATAACCGCATTTGTTACTATATGCATATGGAATACATACGATAATACATACATATACCAAAATATTTGTTTTATTATTTATGTCTGTCTGTCTGTTTGTACTGGTTAATATCTGAAATGACTGGACCGATTTGACTTGCCTCGTTGACCGAGTCTGAATTATGTCGTGGTGGCCCGGAGGTTTAAGGCGCCCGCTTATCATGGATGAGGATGCAGGGTCGAAACCTACCAACGGCAAGTACCAATGTGACTTTTTCCGAGTTATATGTTTCTAGGATTATCTGGACCACACCACTGACAAACGGTGAAGGAAAACGTCGTGAGGAAACCTGGGCTTACAATTTCTAATTATAAGTTTGCAACCGCCAACCCGGATTGAGCAAGCGTGTGAGAAGAGGCTTTGCTCAGCACTGGGCATTTATATGCTATTGATGTGTGTATGTGATTCCCGCCTCGGACAAAGTATTACTGGGTTTAAAAAAAATCTCAGTAGTACCTTGGAATCTGGAATTGTGCCCGGTATATGGTAATAGGTTCACCCCCTATTACATGGGACTCATAACATAAATAGTGAAAAGTGGGAGTTACATTGTACAATGGCATTAAGTGCCGTAAAGTGCGTGCCTCTGCCTACCCCTTCGGGGATAAGAAGCGTAATGTAAATATAGAAAAAAAAACCAAGTTATGTCCTAAAATTCATATTCTACCCCGACGAAGCCGCGGGTAACAGCTAATCATTAATAATATCACGTGACATCACACATTGAAGACCTTACCCTCGATCCAGCGTAAGACATTCTACTCCTGGCGGTTGTGCGGTGACGGTGGCCAGCCTCAGAGCCTCGTGTATCAGGGCCTGCTCGCCGAAGTACTGCCCGCGGCCGAGTGTCCCCACTAACTGGTCACCACTATCACCGTCTCGCTTTGTCACTGCCACCGTGCCACCGCGGATTATGTAAAATTTGTCACCACGCTCACCTTGCCGCACTACTGGTGTACCAGCTGCAAAGAACTCCTGAAATAAGAATTACTCATGATAGTTTTTTTCTGTTTGTTTAAGGTATTTACTACTAATATTGCACTATGAACCAACATTACCCTCTTGAGGAATTCGGACATTTTCCCAAGCACGAGAGGATGAATACCCTGAAGTAGAGGCACTGATGATAGAAAACGTATATTGTCCTCTTGCTCTTGTCGACCACTGCGGACCATTATCTTTTGGAAAACACGTCGCTCTAACACCCAGACTTTTGCTTCTGTTATACCTATTTTCAAAAAGTTGATAATAAGTATGTAGGTAGGTAGGTAGGTTCCTCACATGAGATCATTTAAAAAACACATCACATAACAATTATATATCTACTTCTTCTACTTACATCGAATTGATGCGAATCGTTTAGCTTTGTAAAGAATTGCGAGTTCACCAAATGCCTCTCCTTGTCCGAATGTTTTTACAACTTGTCCTCCTTTGAGAGCTTCAAATTGTCCACTTGCTGAAACAAACAGGTGACTCCCACTTTCCCCCTCTCTGATAATGAGACTTCCTGCAGGGAACTCTTGAGGATTCATCGCTTCCACGACTGCTGCAAGGCGGTCATCATCCATTAAGTTTCTTAAGAAATCATTGGCCATAACTGCCTTTCTTATTTGTTCCGCGGACCTATAAACAAAAACATTAAGTGAATGACATAATATGGTAACTTCAAATTAGAGAAAAATTAAGTATAAGGGAAAGCATTAACTTACTTTTCATCTTTTTTAAACTTCTCATACTGCAACTGTACGTCAGTAAGTCGTGTGGCATCAGCTGGCACGTGCGGGGCGATCACACCGCTCTTACGTCGACCACGGCGCTTTGCTGGGTTCGCCCGCACTATCTCCGAAATAGTTTTGCGCCCAACACTAAACTTAGGGTCGTCACTGGAATTATCAGTATCGGATTCTCGACTAAGGCGCACTCCATTACTTGTACTTTCAGTACTAAGTTTTCCTTCATCTTCATTTTCTTTATCTTTATCTACCGGTACAGGAGGTGAGCTATAGTCAGGTAGTATCTGTAAGGTTAAAATATTTTTATTAAGTCATCATCATCACATCAACAGCCTATAAATGCCCACTGCTGAGAAAACCTCATCTCATACGGAGAAGGTTTGAGAATTAATCACCACGCTTGCTCAATGCGAGTTGACGATAATTAGAATACTTATAATTAGAAATTATAAACCCAGGTTTCCTCACGATGTTTTCCTTCACCGTTTGTCAGTGGTATCTAGATAATCTTAGAAAGTACATATAACTTTGAAAAAGTCACATTAGTACTTGCCGTTGGTAGGTTTCGAACCCGCACCCTCATGCATGAGAAGCGGGCGTCTCAAACCTCCGGGTCTCTTCACCACGACACGTTTATTATATCACGGGTCACAAAAAATAGTACCTACTATTCTGTCTTGATGCAGGTTCATTTTACATGTCTAGGTACACATCACACCCAGACTACAAAAATAATCATTTCATGGCAAAAATATACACCACACAAAAAATGATTTTTAGAATTGATCTCGTGACATGATGTCAATTACTGTGACTGCACAAAAACGACACTCATGAACAGCCGCGGAAGGTTAAGTCTTCCGCGGCTCCGTTGACGGGGCTCCGGCTCGAATTGCAGGAGTAGGAACGGGGTGGTTTTTAGTCAGTAAGAGTCTGACACTCCCTCTCGCCTCACCCGGGCGGGAGCAGTCATTGGATGATTTCCCCCCCTCAAAAAAAAGGTGATAGTTAATTTTTTTTCAATTAGGTACATATTTATTTTGTTCATCCGAATTTTAGGTAGTTCTCAGGACATGAGATCACCAAATGTTTCGCAAAATCAGTGTAGCACGTAGTTCGTAAATTCATTTGTCGTAGCTCGTAGCACATTGCTACGCTACTGTAGAGCAGCCCCGTTCTACGTCAGCAGTCTACGCTATTGTAGATAATTTAGTAGCGCTAGCTACGAAATAATTTGTAGTTTTGTTATTTTAATTTACAAATGTTCATTAATGTACAGCTGAGAAGTTCATTTTAAAGACCTCTCTTTGCGTATATTTATCAGTTAGTGGTTGTCGCTATAACGTCTCACCTATACTGATACTTTACTCCACAGAAACTCAATGAATGATTGAATATATGAATGAGGATAAATAATAATAATAATAATAAATGCTGTCTATGTTTCAGGTTCTTGAGCCATCTATCAGCGTCTCGGCCCAACGACTGTCGGATCAGGTGCGGGTCATCCAACGCAATCGCAGATTGGATGAGGCTGCGCTTGATCGGCTACGTCTAGAAGCACTGCGCAATTGTGTCGTCCCCGCACCACCACAATCGGTGGCACAAACATTTGTAGTGTCACAATGTGTGACGGCAACCACCCCTATCGTTGGAGTGGTGGATGACAGGGTTGAACAAGTGAGTACTCAGTGCAATGAACGACTGAGGAGTGCTTTGGAGGATGCGGTTCGTGAGTACAGACTTGCTCCTAGTAATTTAAGACCGAAATTACCACGTTTGCCCATGTGTAGAAAAAATAGGGCGCTGGTGAGCGCCTTGGATTCGCTACTTAAAAAATATTTTGAGAGTAGCGAAAACCTCTATGATACACACTCAATCTTGTACTGTGGGGCAGTAGCTGCTTGTCGAGTGGCTAACGTCAGATTCCCAAATCTTGACGCAGCAGTCCGACCAAAACCAGCAGTACCTGCCTGGCAGTATAGGATAGAGCGTCGTATCAGTGAGGCCAGGGTACTCATTGGCAAACTATCCTGCTTCAGGGAGGGCAATACTCGCCCTAGAGTGATGCGCTTTGTAAGACGTGCATTTGTGGGGACTGAAACCAGTCCTCATGAATACCTGTCACGTGTTACAGAGCGCATCGACTTCCTGAAGCAGAAAGTTTATGCATGGGCAAACCGTATTAGACGTTACAAAAAGAGAGTGGAGCGCTATACTCAGAATCGCATGTTCCAAAGAGATCAGAGGTGGGTATACAGAGATTGGGAACGATCCAACCAAGATGTGGTTGACGGGCGGCGACCGGATGATGATGCCACTAGCACATTTTGGCGCAACATCTGGTCGGTACCTGTTAGCCACACAGAAGGTGACTGGATGTTTGATGTTAAGCGAAGGTGTGAGACTATACCAGAGATGGAGGAGGTAGAAATCACCTCCTCTGATGTAGCCAGTGCAGCCTGTTCGGTCCCGAATTGGAAATCACCGGGGCCGGACGGACTGCACAATTTCTGGATTAAATGGTTCAAGAGTTCACACGTTCGCTTAGCATTACACTTCCAGGCAGCTTTGGAAACTGGGTCGTTACCACAATTTCTAACAACAGGAGTTACCCACTTGCTCCATAAATCAGGTAGTTCCACTGAGCCCAAAAATTATAGACCAATTACATGTCTACCAACGGTCTATAAACTTCTTACATCCATTTTGAGGACAAAAATAACAAAACATATTAAAAAAAATTCCATCATGTCGGTATCTCAAAATGGATGTAGGGAGGGGTCTCGTGGAACTAAGGAGCTACTCCTCATTGATATGGTTGTTAGCCAACAGGTTCGTCGGTCCCGAAAAGATTTGTCTACATGCTGGATAGACTATAAAAAAGCATATGATTCTGTGCCACATACATGGCTCCTGAAGGTGCTGGAGTTGTATAAAATACATGCAAGTTTACGCGCCTTCTTGGAGTCATGTATGAGGCAGTGGAGCACCGTGCTTTGCTATCCGGGATGTAGACAAATCCAAGGGAATGAAGAACCTGTAAGGATAGTACGAGGAATATTCCAGGGTGACAGCCTGAGCCCACTATGGTTCTGCTTGGCCTTGAATCCTCTAAGTACTCTACTGGAGGATTCAGGGCTAGGCTATCCTTTGCGGAGAAGGGGTCTAGTTATATCCCACTTACTTTACATGGATGACCTCAAGTTGTTTGCTCCAAACAAGAAACAATTGATGGAACTACTGAATATAACTGAAAAATTTAGTAGTTCCATCAGAATGGAGTTTGGAGTAGACAAGTGTGCGGTCATGCATGTAAAGCGAGGAGGGATTGTGGAATCTGAGGGTCTAGAACTCTCAGATTTCACAAAGCTGAGATCACTCTCCGCAAACGATACATACAAGTACCTGGGTATGTCAGAAGGATTAGGCATTAATGGACCGGACATGAAGCAATCGTTACAGGAGCGCTTCTTTGGCCGTCTGAATAGGGTACTGAAAAGTTCCTTATCAGGCGGAAACAAAGTGCGAGCCTTTAACGGTTGGGTCATGCCAGTCCTAATGTATTCTTTTGGTATACTCAAGTGGACTCAGACTGAACTTGACACCCTGGATAGGCGAGTCCGGACACTGCTAACTGCAAATCGCATGCATCACCCTCGTTCGTCGGTCATGAGGTTGTACATCCCGCGGAAGTGTGGTGGTCGAGGCTTATTAAATGCTAAGACCCTTCACAACCGTGAGGTGTGCAACCTCAGGGAATATTTCCTGAAAGTCAACGAGGGTATGCATCGAGAAGTAGCCGCAGTGGACAATGGATTCACTCCACTATCCTTGGCAAAAGAGAACTGGCGCAAACCTGTGGTACTGAGCGTCAATGATCGCAAGGAGGTATGGCATAGCAAGGAGCTCCACGGACGCTTCTTCCGGGCCCTTCATGGGCCCAATGTAGATTTTCTAGCGTCCGTATCTTGGCTACGATTCAGTAATCTCTTTGGAGAAACTGAAGGATTTGTCTGTGCAATAATGGACGAAGTTATCCTTACGAATAACTATCGGAAATATATAATTAAGGATGGGACGGTTGACATATGTCGGGCATGTCATAGTCCTGGTGAATCCATTAGACATATAATTTCTGGTTGTGGTCGTTTGGCTAACAGTGAATATTTGCATAGGCATAATCAAGTAGCCAAGATTATCCATCAGCAACTTGCTTTACACTATCGACTTGTTGAATCTGAGGTACCGTACTACAAGTATGTGCCCGACCCAGTTCTGGAAAATGACCATATCACATTGTACTGGGACCGGTCTATCATTACTGACAGGACTATTGTAGCCAATAAACCTGACATAGTGGTGATAGACCGACAAGTACGCCGCACGATGATAATCGATGTCACCATTCCCCATGACGAGAACCTCGTGAAAGCTGAGAAAGATAAACAAATAAAATATCTAGACTTAGCTCACGAGGTTGTCGACATGTGGAGTGTGGATTCGGCTATCATTGTGCCGATAGTCGTGTCGGCCAATGGGTTAATCCCTAAAAGCCTCGACATCCATCTTAGGAGGCTGGCGTTAGGTGGATGGATCAAGGGCCTGATACAGAAGGCAGTTCTCCTAGAAACGGCACGTATCGTGAGGAGGTTTCTGTCTCTGGAGCCCTAACCACCGGTAGCTTGGACCATGCTCCCGCTACTGGTCGGCTCCTATTTTTTATATTTTTAAATATTATTTTTATTTTATAAGTAGTGTTTAAAAATGTAATTTATAGAGAATTTTAAATAAACATATGTAAATAATAATAATAATAAAGGGCCTCTGCGCAGTTGGCCTCGGCCCCTCGTACGCCTCCTAAATGACCGGGACCCTGTGGTCCCGTGAATGGTAAAGACATACATAATAATAATAATAAATAAGCTTTATTGTACACCAAGTAAGTAATTACACATATTCGGATATTATAAAGAATAAGGAGGGTACAAGGGCGGCCTTATCGCTAAAAGCGATATCTACCAGGCAACCTTTCTAAATAACTACAACAATACAATACAACTAAATATATATGAAATCATTGCAAAACATGGATGGGGTTATTATGTCGCCCACGTGTTCAAAAAATTGTTATTTTAAAATATGTAGGTATATACTTACATGTTATTCAGTACCTATTATATTATATTATACTTAGTTAGTGGGGTGTAGATATTATTACCTATCTAAGATGTTACAATAGTCTTACATTTGGTTTCAATTACAAAACAAAGAAACCGTTTCAAAATTAAAAAGTTAATCCCTCATTACATTTCACGATTGCTATCTGCTGTGATTGTAATAACTTATCACAATAACCTTTATCAAATATTCGATTGATTTTTAGTTATTCAAGATGGCATTCTGATAAACAAAAATTGTACCTATTGTATGTTTTAATACGAAACTTTTTTCATTTCAAAATATGATAATTTTGTTATTACTTTATTAGGTAGGTCCTTTAGAACTTTACATACCTTCTTATTAAGATTATAATACTGATAAAAGATGACCGTCATGCATGCCACGCCAGTTCTCCCCCGAAAATGTAGGCCGAAAATAAACATATTGCACCCTTTGCCAATAAAATAAATATTTGTTTGTTCCATTATTAATAATTTAAATATAAAAGAGTTAACATCAACTAGCTGTACTGACTCTAAATATTTGGCGTAATGGATTATTAATTTAGTTCGAAATATTAGCAGATTTTATACTCGGGAACTCGTGACAACTTCAAATCACGGAGAGGTTCGAATTATCAAAGGAATTATATAACGAGAGTCGACCATAACGATAATCTGGTCAACAGATTCGACTTTATTAATAATATAATATGAGTAGTAGGTAATTAGTGTATCTAACGTAATATATGTTGGGCCAAGGATGTTGAAAAAAGGCAGTCTCTTGAAACAACGACCGTGGCACCTGGCTACTATAGACTTACACGTAGAACATACACACATTAACACGAAGGACTTTGTGTCATTTTCTTAAGTTTGGTAACACACGCACACATTTTGGTGCTCCAATCATTTATAAGTGACATTGTCCATCTTTTTTCAACGTTCTTGTGTTGGGTATATTCTGGAACAGGGTAGGTACTCACAACATAACTGCAGTACTGACGAAAATCATTAAGTAACATTTAATATTTGAAGACTACCTTACAGAATACAGGTACTTATTACGATTTCAGAATTATGGAATGTTCAATTATTTCACTTACGTAGATAGTTTCACGGCGGTCATCGACACCGTTGGTAGCGGGTACGGTAAACTTGTATCTTGCTCGTGAGCTCAATCTAAACGGCGGACACAGCACCATTGTATGGCGATAGTAATTTTCAAAGTCAATTATAACACGTAGCACTGCATGACACTAGAAGCGCACTGAGGAGCTCTCGCGTCGAAACTGCTTGAACGACGCAACAACAGCCTTTATCGCTCTTACCAGATTATCTCTCTATTCCGATTGTTTTAATTATTTCATACTAAGGAATCATTACCTACTGTGTTATCAGAAACCCTCGCAATCTTATCGACATAACACGATTGTCACCCAATCAGTATTATTCACGGAATAGCAATTAAAATCTGCTATTTCGCGCCAAACGAAATGTTTATTAATAAATTGAACTGTTATTGAATCAATCAAGGAAAATACAGGAAATCAAACTACGAGAATTTTATACTATAATTTATTTATAACGTAAATGAGTACACAATGCCAAAGGCTTTAAAATGATTCACTTCATTTAATATTTTTCATTAGAAAAAAATATTTACAATTCAAAAGAGAAAATCAGCTTCGCAATCCATTAAAAATTGCCACACAAAAAAGGAAAATCGTATTTCACTTTAGGTATCACAAATTGTTTATGAGGGGCTCGCTGTGCACTTGGCTTGAAAATATCTCTGTTAAATAATATTCAACTAGTATTCCTATGTAGATCCGTGCCTTAATAAAATGTGCAAAGTAGGTATATCTATAAAATGTGCCAAACGGAAGACATTCATTATGTAACAAACCTATTGTATGTAGTTTACATTAAACTTCAAAAACATTTTGTCAACATTATACTTACAATGTAGATACAGGAATTGAGCACGGTATTGTAATAGTACTTCAAATACTGGCCGGCTGCAAGTGAGCTCGAGACAATCTCGGAAACTATGCACACGCGCACTAGCCCACTATGCAGCTGTAACGCATACTGACTGCTTTGATCACTACAAGCAACTTCAAACGTAATGTATAACAAATAGTTATTTCATCTTATTACAAACGATAGCTATGATTAAGTCAACAGTTATAATATGGATCTTTGAACGCCTAACTTATTTACGTTCAGCATAGTAGACCAGCAACTAATCGATCCCGTAATCAGTATGCGTTACACCATCTAAATATTTAGGGGTTAATCAAACTAGCAAATTGTAGACGTGCCATGTGGCGATGTCGTGCAATAAAATGAGTGTCATGCACGGCTACAAGTTGCGAGTTTGCCACGCAGGAGCTAACAATAACCCCGCTAATATCTGAATAACCTACAACACCAACTGAACAGCTTTGACGAGTGCAATTGACGAACAAGTGATACTTATCAACTCTGGCTACTTTAACAATATGACCCGAGGGCACAGTAATACGGCCGCCGGTAACACTAAGTATACCTATGTACAGTGGACGCTGCCGCCGGCTCGCAACTAGCTAACACCACTACTGATATGATTTATTATGCACAATATAACAATTCGCTTTATCTAATGAATATAATATCGAAGCCGACGATCGTATAAGTTGTGCACAGCATGAAACAAGAGTAGTATGAAACTTTAATTTAACATCTCATAAAAACTGAGAAACAAATCGCGTTACAAAATACATATCCTTAATTTAATGATTATAATATTTATAATACATTGTTCTTGATGTTATTTTTTTTTCAATCTTATTGTAGCACACTAACCATTTTGTCAGATATGTAATTTAAATTCTGATTTTTCTCCAAGTAACAACAATTTGGCTTATATTATGTAACTTTATACAAAACTTAGGTATTTTGCTTTTGTGATTTATTTAAATATCATTAAAATCATACGTAAAGACTATTAGATAACATAATCAAAAATTATGTAGGTACATTTTAAAATTCCAAGTAAACAAGACGAGATTTGGTCAGAACTTGATCGAATTTTTAATATCAAAGTTCGTAAGCAATAATTATTTTATTTCCAAATAAGGTCCTGTTAACTTGTTATAAAATTTGATGATTTAAAAATATATAACTCACAAACATTTGTGACTTTAATTGATACAAAATACTAAAACTAAACAATAAAATCATCAAATAGAATCACATGTACTTGTTTCTGTACTCAGATACAAAATCTTGCATTAATCAGACAATTCCTACAAACCTAAGATTACTTAAAATAACGCATCCACGCATGAGTATTCAGCAGTAAAGCACAAAATATTGTTCGAAGCTGCAACGAGACTACAATAACGTACGATAAAGTAAATATAACTTATTATATAAAAGCCAGTGGCACTAAAAGGCGAGAGTAATAATTATAAAAATAATCAGTAAAAGGAAAATATGACACGAACTGCTTATTACATATCGTACGGAAATAATAGAAAAAAATCGAGACAAAGATTCGACAACTAATTCCGTAAATATCACATGAAACCTTTACGAGTAAGCACCTTTACTATTTATTTATTATTTTAATAAAAGATTGTGCGCGAAGACTAGAATTCTGCAAGACAAATAATAATAATGTCATGGAAATGCTACTTGAGTTAGTTATTCTAATTGTGGTTACAAGATGACACAACTGGGTGAGAACATCACCTTAACGCCTTTAATTAATTAAAGCTATCATCAGACGACACCGAGCTGTGACGAGAGCCATGCGCCCCTGCACCAGCCCAACGTATTCGGTACTCTATCTCTACTTGCTACGTAAAGGTTTGAAAAATAAACGGACAAAGCTCTAATACGTCGACGTCGACGCAACCTCTCATACAGACACATCTGTAACACAATGTGTACCATATTCCTTAGGAATTTACATTAACATGAGAAGATTGACAATCAACTATGAATTAATCAATTCAGATCTATATCTTTATGTATAGTCATTGAACTACGTTAAGATTAAACTACTCTAGATGGCAAACATGTAGATATGTCCATAGAAAAAAATTACTTAGGAGTAATGAAAACTTTCAACAAATGAAGTAAAAAATAAAGTCTGTAGTTTTGTTCTAGTTATCATCTATCTACACCACGACTTATAGATTTCCCAAGTTTTTCTCATTGAAAGACTATTAAATCTATCGAAAAGGGGTTAATGTCATGAAACACTTCTCCGAATACGTATGAATCGATGGGTTTTTGTGCTTTGGTATAAACGTTGAGCGAATTCATAGATGTTACAATACTTTAAAATCCTAATGCAAATGTTAGATCTAAAATTTACAACTTCTAAAAGGGTTGGACCCGTATGCGTGTTTGTTCTATAAAAATGAAAGTCCGTACGCCAGACGAAAATATGAAATAGCATTGTAAAAATAAGACATCGTTTAAAAGACAATAGAATAATTATTGAATAAACATAACTACAAGGAGAAAATCTCAATGATATGTAAGAACTCGGAGGAGTTCCCTTCTTCCCTTATAGACTACAGCTAAAGCGTTTCGCCTACACTCTGTAAAACATTCGCTTATTTATAAACTAGCAACCGATTTACAAGTAACCAGGAACACGAGCATACGCCTGGTTCAGACCGCGGGACAGCGCTGACGGAAGAAATTGGGACTGTCGACAACGTAAGCTTCAAGCGAATTGTACGAACTGAAATGACACAATGTTAGTTCTACCGACTAACAACCCACGCATACACGTATTCTGCACGCGTTGACTGCCAAAAGTATAAGAGACACGCTTCAAGCGGAGCGACGCGAGGCAGAACGTTGTATACGCGGGACGTTGGTCGCATTCTCCGCGAGACAGCCTACAACCTACAGCTAGGTCTCATAAACTGTATAGAGTACAAGGTAACTTTAGAAAATATAGTACGATGTAAAAATAACAACCAAATAAATGGCACCACATTGATATCGCACCATATAACGTATGTACTCCAAAATAATTGATTTGAGATTTCTATTGTCTCTGCGTACATACATGTCTACAAGATAATAACGGTGATTTTACTATAATTGATATATTACATATAAACCGCTGTATTTAACGCCAACTAACTCGCGTTCACAAATCGAATTTATTCTATTTAATAATTAAAAATGGAGACCATTTAACGTTAACGAGTATATTATTATTTAGAATAAGATCGCTGAAAATGTATTCAGGAAACACCATTTTGGCAATTTTGAATTAAAAAAATATCAAGACCGAATTAAATGTTTCCAAACAAGTATTTACAATTTTATGATATGCAAGTGCAAAGCTCACTAAATATATCATTACAATATAGTAAATATTTCTTCTATTGTCCATGATACAAATACAAATTGTAACATCTACACTAGACAGTACGGTACGAAGGATCGGAAGATGAATTCACTTCTGTTAAAATTATAGTAACCCTTAGAATATCTAAATAGAACGAAAGCAATCACTTTAGCTGCTCGCACTTGTATAGCATTAGGTACACAATAATTTACATTAAGTTCAACTTATTAAGTATTCTGTTAGAAATTTTAATGACTTTGGTATTTCATAAGTTGTGGACGCCGACAACTCGACGACACGACGACTGCACGACTCCACGCTCGCTCGTTACTTCATTAGTTTGCTACCCAAGCTTAGATACTTACACGGTAGTCTGCTAGCGTTTATTATTGATCCTTAAATTTATGAATTATGTTTGTACGTTTACAAAGAGAGTTCATTGTCATGTTAAGGTGAAGGTGACGAAGGTATTCGAGTTCAATCGTTTCCATCCAATGGCTTTCTAGTATGGCGCAAATCTGTTGTAGCCACTTCTGTACACTGCAGTCTGTAAGTCAAATTATATTACAGTTATTATCAAAGATATGACTTCAGTTATTGTGAGGCTGAAATCAAATAATATTCGGAGGAACAAAAACAAATATATCTTACCCCGTATCCTGATACTGGTCCGATTCCATGGCCTAAATATGGATCTGCATACTCTCTACCGTACCTGAAATTGCAATTATTTTATCTATTATCTGAAATTGCAATTTTTGCATATAGAAGTATTTAATTTACTAATTTATATTAGAGGTATATTTTGGATCTATGTTCAATAAGATTGCTTAGCTTTGCGTTTTCATTTGCACATAGAAAAGTAAGAACTGAAGAAATATTTCTAGTAAATAGTTAAAACGTGCGCTAGAACACAAGTGCTATAACAAGTATAAGTTACAACTCCAATCGACATGAATCGCGAGGCTTTGGAAAAAGAAC